TATCGGATCCTATATATATATATATATATATATATATATATATATATATATATATATATATAGTAGTGCACTTAGTAACTGGTTCTACATATAGTGTTAGAGTGTTCTCTTGTATTAGCATTCGTTTGTATTATCCTGTAGTAGTGCACTTAGTAATATAAAATAATTATACTTAATTAATTATTTTAGTAGTGTACACTTGTAGTAGTGATCAAGAGTGGTATTCCATAAACTATACCTATAATAGTTTAAATGTATGTTCTGTATGCATTGAAAGTTCTTGTAGCTAAACAGTTTGTCTAACTATATGAAACGATAAAAAAGATACCCTTTTGCTCGACATGATACAAAAGGGTTAAAGATTTATTTAAATAAAATTTGTATTTATATATGTATAAGACATATACATATAACCTTGTATTTCGAAATAAAAGTATCAAATATTTGAAGTAGTTTGAAACACTTTTTAAAATATTTTGATTCAGATGAAACGACTTGATGTACTTTAAAATTGTTTTAAATCCTTTGAATATTAACACAAAATTCATTTGTGTTTTACTTGTATCCCCCCCCCCCCCTTAAAACGTTTAAAATAGTGAAAATATAGGGGTATGAACTCATAATTGTTTGTGCACGTGTTGGACAGCGAGGCTGGAAAGATGACCCTCGAGCTGATGCACGCAGAATTAACGGTATCCTAATGATAATTAAATACATAATTCTATTTATATTAGCGAAACCAGTATTTAAAGTGTTAGAAAACAATTGTTTTTTGTGTTAGGAATAGTTACCGAAATTGTTTGAAGTGAATGGGAGGGTTTTCGGTCTAGCTAAATCCAAGAACCAGGTTTTCGGTCTGGATGAGTTCTCGGTCGGAAACTGGTTTTCGACTGAAATCAGGTGTTCAATTTTGCAGGTGTTTTCGGCCCTTGAAGATATGAATGTTGTTATTGGTGTTCTTGGTGTTATTGAGGAAAAATATGAACATTGAAGGTTTCCACTTGAATGTATGAGTGTTCTTAGGTGATCCTTGGGAGCAGAATGAGAGAGTTTTTGGGTGGAAATGGTGAGAAATGAACAAGTTCTCGGATGAAAACCTTTATAATGGTTAGGTTTTCGGCCAGAGGTGGGTTCTTGACCAAGATCGGTTTTCGGCCCGAGGGATATCGGCCAAAAACGCATAGTTGAACGAGTTTTGCTATTTTTTGAGGGAAAAACTTGATTTTTCGAGTGTTTTTGGTTCTGAAACTTGTATAGATTTTATTTATATAATTTAAATGGTTTTCTAACCCTTACGAACTTAACAGAATAAATAAAATTTGAAATTTTATTTAACGGAATTGACTTTTGTTATCACAATTGTTACCCGCATTCTATAAGAATTAATGTAATTTTTTTTATTCTTCAATTGATGATTCAAGAATTTGTTATTTTACAAGAAGTTTTTAAAGTCATGATCAAGAAACACGTTCAACAATATTTTTATAATTTTATGGTTCAAGAATATTTTTATTTTTGATAAACATATTCTAATAGAATATCCGAGAATTATCATCCCTACAATCAGATTTTTAAAATTAATAAAATCTATTATCCCTTAAAATATGCAATTTTCCCTTTTTAAATTTATGTTAATTGACTAAAAATACTCTTAAAGTTAAAATAGATGATATTTTATAATTATCTTTAATTTAATAATATGGATTATTCACTTTCTTAAAATAAGTAAAATGAATGGCTCACAATCATTCCTACAACCACACAACAATTAGTTAGAATAAAATAACCTAGACATATATATATATATATATATATATATATATATATATATATATATATATATATAGAGAGAGAGAGAGAGAGAGAGAGAGGTAGGTTCAAATGTTTTTAGCAATTATTGTGTGCCTAAATGCACCAATCAAAAAATTATATATAATTAAATAATTAATTAAATAGAAAAGGGTATTTTCGGTTTTTTGCATTAGCAATTAATGAGATCATTTAAATAAATCCCTACAATTAAGGGAACCAAATAAATAGCTAATATATTTCTTTTACAAACGTGTACATCAATTTTTTCCCTTTATTATCTCTTCTCCCTCTCTTTCTCTAATCCTACCTTTGCATCTTCATAACCCTAACCAAATTGCCGGCCATCCCATTGTTGTGGTTCACACACATTTTTCCATCGATTTTTGTAGTTCCCCCTATCACCTCTCATTTTTTTACGATTGTTCCTTTTGGGCAAGTTCGATTTCCCTTTGATTTACGTGTCGATCTTCACCTTTCTCTATCCCTCTCGGCCCACGTCGCTGATTTCGACCGGAGACGAAAAAGAGAAGCAGCAACAACGAAGATGCCTCCTTCAAGCAGTAGGTAATTAGAGGGTGTCCACTCAGTCAACGGTTGTGTCTATCCTCTCTCTGATTCCTGCAATACTAGACGATTTGTTATTGGCCACCACATCACCGTTTGTGGATGATAGATCGATTAGGAGAGAGGCAAAGACCAACCCACCAAGGTACGCTATGATTTTCTAGAAATATGTTTTGTTATTGATTTGTAATATGAATTTGTAGGATACAAAATTGCTGCAAGCATTTATCTGTATAAATGTGTGTTTATATTATATGAAATCTTTGACTAATGAGTAACAACTGATAGAATCTGTGATGATACAGTGTGTGCCTAAAAGGTGTTCGATGAAATGTCGATTAGAATAAATTACAATTGTTTGATGTCTACTACATTCTATCAAAATTTACAGTTGTTATTCTTTTAGAATGCTCCAAATTTGTTAATATTTGAAAGTTGATTGTCTTATTTATTTATTTATTTATTTATTTATTTTTTTGTGGATTTAGGGTTTTAAGAGACTGAATTCGACAGAATTCTATTTCAATCTCTCCTTATTTTTGTCAAGATAGGAAAAGTAAAAAACATTGCAAGATAGAAAAAATGAAATACATTCTATTAGAATCTGGTCATGTGGTATGTATTCTGTCAAAACTCTTAGAATGTCTATTATTCTGGCAGAATTCGATTTCAATCTCCTTATTTGTCAAGATAGGAAAAGTAAAAAACAATTGCAAGATAGGAAAAATGAAATACATTCTATTAGAATATGCTATCATTCTATAATATATAGTTTTTATAAAATAAGTAATGCTTGTACTCTGTCAGAATTTATTTGTAGAAATACATTCTGTTAGAATGTCTTTTAAGAATGTTTGTTAACAACAAGTACATTAGCTTCATTGGTAATACTAATGAATAATGCATTTTATACTTTCAGAATGGCTTTGAAGAAGGAATTCAATATTGATCATACAAGAGAAAGATTTGGAATCGAGGTCAACAACAAATATATTTTGCGAAGAATTACATTCTTACGATAATATATCACATTTTCATCATAGTTTGAATGAAGTGCATTATTTAGACCTTTGATGAAGAGCATGTGTATTTGTTTAATAATTGTATATTTAAGAAGCTATTTCTTAATATTTTTATTCATTTTTGATGATATTCTGTTAGAATATGTATAACTATATTAAATTGTATAAGACTATTAGTTTGTAAGAATATTTATGATTTTGTATTCACGTTTGAATGTATATGAAGAATATATGTTGAGTTATTAAATCAGGTTAATTATCAAAAATATATGCATTGGAAATATATTCCACAAGAATAAAATCGAAAATATCTTTACTAATTAATGTTTGACATTCTGACAGAATAAAATCAGATTTAAATTTGAATTATTTTAAAATATTCAGATTTTAAAATATAAATGAATTCATTATCCCTAAAAATCCGAAAATTTCCTTTTTTAATATAGGTTGATTGACTAAAATGCCCTTATGCTAGAATTTGTGTGATTATATGGTACATGTTACCCTATTGTGATATCATAGACCATCAGATCATGATCTTTGATTCTATTCCATCCGGTGGTCCAGATTTGTGCATTCTGGCACACAATAGTTAGTAAAAACAAAATAACCTAACCCTATATATATATATATATATATATATATATATATATATATATATATATATATATATATAATTGTGTATTTCAATTGTCAAATGTGTTTAGTGTTTCTAATTTTAAGAGCATAAGGATTATCAATTTAGTTGTACTAATCCTCAATTGTTACAACTAGTGGCGGAGTCGGGGAAAAGTAAAAGGGTATCCCAAAAAAAATTCTGAGTTGTCACTACAGTCGTTAGACTGAGCATGGGCCGAGCTGGATCGATTTTGACCTAAATCCAAACCCAAAACCGTTAACCTCGGTTTTGAAACTTATAAAACCAAGCCGAACCCAAACCCATTAGGTTGTTGTTTTGGTTATTAGTTTGGGTTTGTACGGTTTGGTTTCTATTTTTAAACAAAAATGTTAATTGAATCATTTGTTAACCTCAAGTCTTATTATATAAACATGAAGTTGAAGTATCGCTTGATACTTGAATCGATGTGGAACTCAAAGTGGATATCAAATGAAGCATGAGGATAACAAGTTTATATAATATATGAAAATGGTTGAGTTTATATGTGTTTGGCGATGTAGGATAAAATAGTTGGGAAAATAAAAGAAAAGTAAACAAAGGATTAAAAGAGAGGTAAATAAAGCATATGTAAGGAGCAATGATTGATCCTAAGACCTTTGCTTCAATAAGCCAACACCGTAACCAATAAACTAATTGTTTGTTTGTGTTCATAAGTGAAAGGATGCGTATATACACACTACATAAAACAAAATTTTCCTAAAAAAGTTACACTACCAAAAGAATATTGAGGGGGCATCCCGGGATACCCCTTGGATCCGCCCCTAATTACAACGTTAAATTAAAAATTAAGTAGCAATTTCGAATAAAACTCTTTAGTAATTTAAAATAATTACAAAACTATTTTTTTAATAAACAATCAAATTATCTAATGTCTTTTACGGTATTTAACTCTTATAATAGAAAATTGAATGTCAATTTAAACAAAGGAACCTTGTTGGTAACATAATAAGTTTTTTCCGAGTATATTAGTTATGACGATATTGGTAACAAAAATTTTTGTACCAATTGTACTTGGTATGGTATACAGTTTGGATAAAAAAGTATAGCTACCATAGGATTTAGTACTATGTTCACCTATAATGTTTACAATTAATTAATTAATTCATGAGTTTAAACTCAATTCCTTGTAGAGTGAGCCCTTTCACTGATTCATTAACAGAAAGTGGCAATCGACGATCCCTCAAAATCGTTTTAGAAGTAGTGGAGGTCTGAAATTCCCATACGTGTGCTTCCATGGGGCTTTGAAATTCGCAGACTTGTACTTCCATCCAACCATCATTACGTTCTTTTGGAATGCCTTTCATTTTGTGTCTCTTTAGTGGGTTGTAGGTGTTTTTATATTCCTTTCCTCTAATAATTGGGAGTTGAGGACAAAGTAAATATATATACCAAGAATGATCCCCATAACTAACTTTCAAAGGAAACTCAAAACCAGAATGGTATGCGTGTAATTTGTAAACTAGGTAGGCTCCATATGTTTTTTGAGGTGATGGCATTTTTAATATGCAATATATCGAAAAGTTGCCATGAGGATCATAGGCCACTTCTCCAAATCTGCAAAAAGACATTATTTTTTAGAAAAATGTGAGAACACGACAATATATTTGTACAAAATTAATGGGTTCAAAAAATAGGCATGGGTATAAGAAAAAAGGTTGGGTGAATAGAGGAAAGAACCTTGATTCAGGTAAGGACCTCCAACTCCACTGTCGTTTATTCACAACCACTCGAGCTGGAAGCATATAACATTTCTTCCCATCTTTTGCAAGAGAAAACCACTGTAATTCAATAAATGTGTAACTACTTGTTCTTAAGTACTTATTACTTTTACTTTGTTTTTTAGATCTCAATGTAGTATGTTACACTATATATACTAATATCAATACATGCAACCTTAATCAAGAGGGTTTCCACATATTCTATCATGGTAGCTGGGAAGAGGTACTGAGTTTAATACCCACGTGGGATCAGAAGTCGGGAGTTCAATCCCTGCAAAACCCAATTTGGGTGCCTCTTAAACTTGTGCCACATGTGGGGAAATTTTCCCTGGAAACCCCTATGGGAGCTGGGTTTGCCCTGTAAAGGAGCTCGAACCCAGGGTACTCATTGAAATATGCGAGTAGGCTTCCGATTAATCATTTGCCGTTTCCAAAAAAACTAAACAAGGTTTTCATAAGACTTCTCTTATCACGTAAACCCTAAAACAAATCCTTTTTTTCTACGCCACCCTCCTATATACCTATGTCTTCCATTCTTTGCACCTTCCGACGACTTTGACTCTTTCTCACTGTTGATTGACTCACTTAGCAACCACCTGTTGTCTTCCTCCCCACGTTTTGGCTACTAGGGCATTACTATCCCTCTACTTACGATTAGCTTCTAGGCTTTTATTTTATGTTATTATTACATTTATTTTTACGATTTTTCCGGGTCCTCATGACAATTTTGTCATCAACATCTACTGCCATGACTTTCACTCCTACTTCCATTCGATTTGTATTTGCTCTTACCAATGTTTACTCATAATTTGGGTTTAAAATATAGTTGAGGGGTCAAAATACTAGCATAAAAATTTTATTGACATGTGCAAAGGTGCAAAAATGCATAATTATATTACGGCTAATCTCAACCTTAAGGAGATGATGATGAGGATTGGGCGGCCATTGATTATGGATAAAGTCATGGGTTTATTCCATTCGCGATGCAAATTACTTCAGATCATATCCACTGAAGAGTATACCTCTAAAGATTTATAGGACAAACTATATGAGTTTTTCCTCAACAACAAAATGTCTAGAATGCTCCAACTATAGGAACAATTTCGCAACACAAAGAAAGGATATTTGTCAAAAATTGAATTGTTTCACTCCCTTAAGAATATGGATGAAGCTCTTTGTGAATCAAAAATTGAAGAAGTCGAATTAGTCATGCAAATTTTACGACAATTGCCTCCTTCCTATCACAACATTATTGATGTGATTAACAACATGAAACCATTACCGTCCTTTCTTGAATCCAAAAACATGCTTCGATCCATAAATCTCTCAAAGAAACACAAGAACAAAGTGGTGAAATGCCTCTCAAATCTTTAGAATTTTTATACTTGTCCCCCTCGGCTCTTGGAAAGTCGAAAAATAAACTTAGTAAGGGAAAAATAGTAGGCGAGTTGCTTCTAAGAGAAGAGGGTTATGCTAATGTGTATTCTAGTTCTAACAATGTTTTAGGTCATCAAGGCACACACGGACAAGTTTAAGCTTACCTTGGAGCAAATAACACCATTGGCTTATCTCATATAGCAAAACGACCTTTTCAGCCCTCCATCTAATACATATGTTGCTACCAGACCTCCACCAACAGCTATCGGTGTATAGCAAGCCTCACCGAAAGCCCCCGAGCTTCACTATCAACAATAGCCTCTCGGTTTTCCTCCAGTACGGTAGCAACAATCCTTGCTGTCAAATTTTGATCAGGTATAGACGACAAGTCGTCTGGATGGGTGGATCTGTAACGACGACATCTATACCGACGATATTTTTGACTTTTACCAACAAAGCTATAGCGACGAATTTGTACAGTCGACAAGTCGTCTGTATAGGTTTTACCGACGACATGTCGTCTGCAAATGTGTAAAAAAAGTCGTCTGTATAGGCCTCGTTCCTTGTAGTGCGGTGAAAAATCTTGTCTATGTTCCTCATTTAACTATTGATAATTATGTTTGTACTGAGTTTAATTTTAATTTTGTTAAGTTTGATCGATTTAGTTTCACGCTCCCTCTTCATCTACTAACTATGATTCCTTTTTGTTCAAAGATGAACAATCCATTTTCTCTACTGTTTCTCCTACCTTTCATTATCCTCTTCAATCATCCATATCCTTGGCTCCTCTTTTTCCTACTTTTGATGTTGTCCAGTTTGGAGTATCTTTGACCCCATATACGTCATCTCTGACTCCTACTTCGCTTCCAACTACTAGGCATCCTATGTTCCCTAGATCCCTCACCGCTCTATCTAGACAAAAAAATCTTTAATATCTTTATCACTTCTAATTTGTCGCCATTCCCTGATCAACAGGTAAGGCTATGTGTGATCTTATTCAACTCTTTCCTATGGACTCCAAGATATATGTACTTCATTCTAACCAAACCTAGGATCTTGTACCCAGACCCCCTACCAATAACAGTGTTTGATGTCGTTTGCTCTGTCGTCACAAATTTGACGGTAGTGGTCGCCTTGATCATTACAATGGTCAGTTAGTGGTTCAAGGTTTCACTTAGCACTCGAGTCTAGACTTTGATGACACGTTCAATATTTTTTGTCAAATCTTCCATAATTCGTACCGTTCTCCACATTTATGTTTAAAAAATTGGCACATTCTTCAATTACATGTCAAAAATACTTTCCTTCACATTGATCTTCTAGAAATTGTGTACATACATCAATGCCCCGGTTATTTCAATAAACTGTTCCCTCACCATGTTTGTCGTTTTAAAAAGGCCATATACAGTCTCAACAGGCTCCTCTAGCATGGTACCAACACTTTGTTGTCTCTCTTTCTTCTTTGGGATTTCTCGGCAGAAAATATGACAGTTCTCTATTTACTTTTATCGCAGTTTTGACACCATCTACCTACTTCAATATGTAAACGATGTCATTCTCACTGCTTCTTCTCACTATATTATCTTTAGGGTCATCTCTCAATAATCCACTAAATTCCCGTAGGTTTCCTTCTTTCTTAGTAGTGCCGCCGAACACAGTTCTTCGAGCCTCTTTCTCAGCCAAAATGTGTTCGCTTATGACATTCTTACACATGTTAACATGGCTACGTGTAATCCATGCAGTCCTCCGAGTAAAGCCAAGCTCCCCTTTGATGGTGATTCGATCTCTAATACGATGATATATCAAAGTCTCGCCGGCACTCTCTAATATTTGTCATTTACTCCTCCTTATATTTCTTATGTTGCTCAGTAGGTCTGCATATTTATGCATGATCCATATATCCCTCATTTTCTGGAACTTAAGTTCTTGTTACGGTATCTCAAATGTACCATATGTTGGTGATTTTAGTGTCCCCGTGTCATTTTAAGTAACTGGAACTAACATGTGAGCTAAGGGGTTTCATGATTTGTACTCTAATACATGTACGGGTTTGTGCGGAGTACACGCATGTATAAGATCGAGTCAGAAGCTGGTTCGACGACTAGTCGGGGGTTTGTGGGCAGTGCCCCCGGGTCTGGGGTTTCCAAAGGGGCAGTGCCCCTAGCGGGGTTTTTGGTAAATTTAACAAAATTCGTTAGTTTTTGGTAACCCTAATCCGGATTAATATTACTTGCTTCCTAAGTAAGTAATGACGGCCCAACCCTAATGAAACCCTAATTGTGTTTAGTATATAAACAACTCTTCGTTTCTAGAAGAGGGATGATTTTTAGCTCTCGTTTTACATCACACATTCACAAAACCTTTTAGCATAATAGCTTACATTTTCTGTGCCTAGAAACGTAGGTGTCCGCTTGGATTATCCTAGGCTGGATTTCTTGTAACCCATGCATAGGGTAGAAATATCAGTTCGGAAAGTGATATCACGATCCAAGCTGGTATCCAGATCTCCACCGCAAACTCTAATCTTCCCAACACCATATCATATTATCTTCGCATTCGTCCTTCATCCGTTGATCGGATGGTTTCCTGTTTTGATGTAACTGAGATGGCTGATCTATGTTCATCGGTCCTTGAAACGTCAACATGTGTTCTCTTGTTCTAACACCGAAGTTGAGTATCAAGGGTAGCCATTGTGGTGGTTGAAACTACATGGCTTCGAAACCTCCTTCTTTAGTTGCATTTCCATCTCTTGCGTGCCACTGTTGTCTTTTGTAATAATGTGGTTTTCATGTATCTAGGCTCCAACCATTTCAATACTGACATGCCAAGCATGTGGAAATAGACTTATATTTTATTTCAGAACGTATTGGGATTGGTCATGTGCGAGTTTCACATTGTTCCATCCACTTCCGCTTAACGATGCAAATATATTTCCAAACGGTCTATGTACACATCTACTTTTGGATTTTAGAGATCGTTTGAACATTCGAGAACCTCGTGTTCCAACTATCGGGGTTTGTTAAATACTTATTATATTTAATTTGCTAGTTTATATAGTTTTTTATAGTATAGGGATCCCATTGTAATATGTTACACTATATATAATGATATCGATACATACAACCCTAATTAAGAGGGTTTCAACATATTCTCATTAGTGTTTTGGAATTTTGGAGTTCTTGTCATTAACCTAGTAAAGCCATGTCCATAGGCTACATATGAGGAATAATTTTACCAACATTATTTAAAAAATATACCTGTTTGCCATCATTGATTAGGAACCCTTTGCAAAGAACATAGTAGAGTTCCTTCTTTGTTGTCCATTGCACACTATCTTTTGATGTCTTGATTATGTCTTCATAATCACTTGGCAACTTTTGTTCCCAATATGTGTCTGAATCTGATATGGTTTGCATATCCACCTCCTCATCCTCTACAACTTCTTGCTCCACCTATACAACTTACATATTAAATGTTGATCGACTATCGCAAAAAACTACTATACTCCTAATGTGTTTAATTTTACACCACGGAGTAGGTAACCCATAGGGATTTTCTTACACCAAAAACAACATATAAATAAATAAACCATTATTTGTCGTCTTACTCTCTCCAGTGGCAGAAACACCATGCCTTCAACTATCAATGGTTCCTCGGATAGAAATGTAATTTCAAGATCAACATTTCTGTTGTCGCTAGTAAACTGATACAATTCTGTCATCAAACATCCATCTTCTCTCTTATCTACTAAGTAAGAAGTCCATGATTTTGTCTCCCCCACCACTCTATAATGGAGGCCTAAATAGTTTGTGTACTTCAATTGGAACACAAGGTTTACAGTGTATGTGATATACCGTGACAAAAATTGCGTTTTGACATGTGTTTTGAATTCCATACATAATGGTTGATGGCCATTTACTGCAAATCTGCACGAAGATGCTATAAATCTGCATGAAGATACAACAAATAATACATTACTATATATATAATCATGAAACAGTCTCAAAAACATGGAAACAAAAAGTAGAAGCAAATGTAACCTTGGTTTGGTTCGTCGATAATAATACTCAAATACAGTGCGAATAGGAATCAAACATTCTGCTGCAGATATCATTTCACAATGTTCTCCATTCTTATTTAGCCAAAACCTCTGTCCATTAAAAGTGATCATGTTAATTTGGCAGATGTAGGATATGACTCTATGAGTACTTTTACAAGAGTATTTTTGTGGTTGACGTGTTTTGTTATTATCAAAGTATTGTGGTTAGGTGGAAAATAAAGTCATTTTATTACATAATTGTTGGAAAAATATACATATGTTAACCATTATTACATAATTGTTGGAAAAAATATACATATTTTATTACATAAACCTTTAATCATGTGACAATCTTCAAATTAAGCTATAATATTTTTCATAAATCACAACTTACATAATAATGATTTATACACACAGCTAATTACCTTTTTCCCCCGGTTAAGGAAGATTCCTTTTGTGAGAAGCATCTTTAGCTCCTCTTCGGACCTGTAGTTGAGAGGAGGTACCGCATTCTTAATGATCTCTTCGTAGACCATTGATTCTTCAAAAATCTCCTGAAATCGAAAAGCCATCTCAAGTTTTTCCACAACCTCAGACATCTTTGGCCTTTCATCACGAGATTTCTGCAAACATTGATAAGCAATGTTTGAATATGTTTCCATTGAACGCGAATCCATCTCTTGCTTCAAATCTTGAAAGATAATCTCATCCAATTTCTTTTGTTTGTAGCTTGCTTTCCACCATTTCACGAAACATTGCAAGCGACCATTGTTATAATCAAAGCATGGTCTCCTACACAATACTTCAAATAAGACCACACCAAAAGAATATACATCTGATTCTTTTGTTAGAATGCTCGTGGCCAGATACATCGGATCTAAGTACCCAAAGGTGCCTACAACATTGGTGGCAAGAAAGGTGTGCCGCTGATTAGCAGGTCCTATTTTCGACAATCCCATGTCTGAAAGTTTAGCATTCCAATTCTCATCCAACAAAATATTGGAGCTTTTTACATCTCGATGGATAACTCTTTGTTGTGTCCCCTTTGGATCATGAAGGTAGCAAAGTCCCATTGCAGCCCCAAGGCAAATCTTGAGGCGTTGCCTCCATGTGAGAGTAGTGCTATTTAAGTGGATATCGAGGCTTCCATGAGATGCATGCTCATACACAAGGATCTTCTCACCATCTTCATCACAAAATCCCAGAAGAGAGATGAGATTTTCATGTTTGTAATGAGAAAGCATCAAGATCTCTTTCCAGAACTCAGGGTCTCCTTGCCCATATCTACGATCAAGACGCTTGAAAGCCACGACATCTTGCCCCTCACATTGAGAGCGTACTCCTTTGTACACATACCCAAATCCACCTTTCCCAATAACGTTGTTGTTATCAAAGTTGTTGGTGGCTAACTTTATCTCGTCCAGATGGAATTTAAGATGTTGGAACTCCTCCAGGAAGGACTCCATTTACAAACAAAATCTCTTGATTACAACTAAAATCAGAAAAATCAGAAACGAACTAATAAGACCAAGAAGTTTTGTAGAGGAGAAACTGACCAAATAGATTTTCGAATCCGCAAGAAACTTACAGTAAATATGAGGTTTGAGATAATAAGAATTGATATGGTGTTTGAGGACTTCTGTATTTGCTTATACTTATAGAAAATACGAACAAAAAAATTCCAAATCTTCGTCAATTAAATTTTTAACTCCTTAGAAGTTGCACTAAAGTCACAATGCTTCGCCACTTGACACTTTTAGTCCCTCCATTTTTATTGTATTGTTATAATCTGTAACATAGAAATTCTGATTAATTAAGTTCTAATTTCTTTCATATACATGAAATTATTTTATTAACTTAGTGTTAAATATAGGAAAGAGATATTTACCAATCGTAATGGGTGCTCTAAGATCCAAAAGGTCTTACCTCGTCTCATTTTAATATATACGATCGAGTAATAGTTGATACAATGATTAAAATATAATCAACATATTTAGTAATTTCTTAATATGCAATGATATAGTTGATGATAAGTCTTATTATGCACTAGACTCCAAAGGAACTAGCTTTTTACTTTGCTTTTGATTTGGGAAATTCCCCATAGAGAAATAATTGAGGAATAAAGAATTGCTCCTTGGCGACGGCCTCCTTTATTACTTTCACATCTTTCTCTTTGTAAGATTTTCACGCTAAGAATCACTTACACCTGTACTAGCCCTAGTTTTATATGCACCAAGGCTATATAAAGTATTCAAATGCTTACAACTAAAATTATTAATATTATAAAAATGTAGATCTCGTGTGTGTGTCTATATATATATATATATATATATATATATATATATATATATATATATATATATATATATATATATATATATATATATATATATATATATATATATATAGAGAGAGAGAGAGAGAGAGAGAGAGAGAGAGAGTTACTTCATGTGAGACAGTTTAATTTTGTGAGACCGTGAGACGTAATCATACCCATTAATTTGGTAGATAAAACAAAAAACATTTTTAAAATGTAAAAAATAATTGAAAATTTTCAAAAAAAAATTCAAATATTATTTTCAGAATTTATATTTTCCAAAAAAAATAAAATAAATACCAAAAAAATAAATAATAAATAAAAAATACATTTTTTACATATTTTAGTAGAATAATAGAATATTCTACATATCTGAGAATTCTATTATAATATTGTAACATTCTAAAAATCACATTAGAATCTTTACAGTGTAATATTCTATTAGAATATTTCACGTATATTTCAAAAATAACGGTAATTTTTGTAGGTAGTTAAAGTTTCAAAAATAATAATTAAAAAAAGAATTTTTGGATTTTTCCTTTTAGACAAAATTGCAAAAATGGTCCTTGTGGTATGCATTTTTTTGAGGTTTTAGTCCAAACAGTGACTTTTTTGGTTTCGTAGTCCTTTTGTACTACTTTCATTGTAGAATTGGTCCCTGATAATCTTGAAAAGACTATATTGCCCTTTTAATTTGTTTTTTCCATTTACTTAAATACTTTTTTCTTTTATTTAATTATAAATGTTAAATCAAATCAAGAATGGGACCCACCTCTCTCTCTCTCTCTCTCTCTCTCTCTCTCTCTCTCTCTCTCTCTCTCTCTCTCTCTCTCTCTCTCTCTCTCTCTCTCTCTCTCTCTCTCTCTCAGTTGGGGATTTGGCGACGGCTGATCGGAAGAAAAAGAGGCACGAAATCAAAACATCAAACACCTTCATCCTAAAATCAAACCAAATGATCATGTATACAAGATTCCTAAAATCGTATCAATCACTTTAAAAACAAAGTAACAAACATCCAAACACTTTCATCCTAAAATCAACAAAATCAAACTTAGACAGCAACTAAAATCCCACTTCTGCCAAACACACTCATAGATACTTATGCAATGTCGACCCAGAAACCCAAATCCCACTTAAGTAATCAAAAAAATTAAAACCCATATCACCATTTTGGATCAATTGCAGAGAATGGCCCTAGTAAGAGCAAGAACCAAACAAGAAACAGTGAAGAAAAATAGAGTAACAGAGTCTCTCGTTGACCATTTCTTCACTGCTTTACCTTCAACCCTCAAACTTTTAGCCCTTTGAAGTGCATCAACTTCCTTCAACAAATAAAACTCCAAACCTTTCTTCTTCAATTCCTCCACACACCTCCCCAATAACTTCCCATCTTCTTTCTCCCTCTCCAGTAATTTCTCCAGGTGCGATTCTGTGTCTGTCTTGTAACGAACAACCCAGATTAATCCCAGAGAACAGTGGAGCGAACAGAGAGATGGGATCCATGATCGGTTGCATGATCCAGATGTAGACCCCCTCAAGTAGACACGAAGGAGACCACTGTATGTGCGATTTGGTGAATATCTTGCACTTCGATTCCTCTCAAGAAAAAATTCATCTCCTCCAACTCTCTTGTTCTTCCCGTTGGTTTCAGAGTTTGGTTTCTTGGTGGTGTTGAATGAAGAATTTCTCTAACTTACACTACTCTTGCTTCGTAATACCTTTTTGTTAAATCCCTTTTTGATTCTATTCGATCTTGCCATGATTTTGAGTATGATCTTTCGACGCCATTTACTCTGCTGAAAGTGTTGTCGTCGTCTTTGTTGGATCCTCTACATTGGTGGATGAACCCCATAACTTCCATCTCCATCGTCTTGGTTTCTTCCCCTCTTTCTTCTCACCGTTGTCTTTGAACCCTAATTCGAATGTCTCTGAGCAATCATCTCTTATGGAATTTGAATATGAATCCCTTGCTAATTCTCACTCACTGCTGATGCTTGGAAATCTTTTTAAGGCGCCATGACCATGGTTGTAATCGATGGTTGCCGGAGAAACTTTGGCGTTTGAGACTAAAATGGGGGTTTTTTTGGTTCGTTCATTTTCGCCCTACAGCGGCGACCATTTTCCGGATGGATTTAGACCTATCGAGGCTTTTCCTGTGCTTGGAGGAAGAATCGGAGTAATATTCTTTGAGAGCGATTCGATTCAGGATCAGTTCTTCTTCTTTAAGCCATTGCTTTAACAGAGTGGGTTGGAGTAATGACGATTTCGTGAAGTGGGTAGAGAAATGTTTTTGACGATGATTCCACGATCGTTGTAGTAATAGCAGTGTCTTTGCTCTCATCCGCCATTAAATCAGTTTCGAGAGAGAGAGAGAGAGAGAGAGAGAGAGAGAGGTCCCATTCTTGATTTTATTTAAAATTTATAATTAAATAAAAGAAAAAACTATTTAAGTAAATGGAAAAAACAAATTGAAAGAGCAATATAGTCTTTTCAAGATTACCAGGGACCAATTCTACAATGAAAGTAGTCCAAAAGGACTACGAAACCAAAAAAGTCACTGTTTGGACTAAAACCCAAAAAAAATGCATACCACAGTGACCATTTTTGCAATTTTGTCTTCCTTTTATTTTACATTTTACAATTATTTTTAGATTTGGTTTCACGGTCTTACAAAATTAGCATGGTCTCAAAAAAACCTAAACATATATATATATATATATATATATATATATATATATATATATATATATATATATATATATATATATATATATATATATATGGTGAGGTTCAATTGAGAACCATAATTAACTTTTTCACATTGTGAATGTTAAAATTTGAAATATTTACAGTTTACATTCACAATGTGAATCTACACTGATCGAGGTTTTTTTTTTGTGAAACTTCTCAGATTCACAATGTGAATCTGAGCTGTTCGAGATTTTTCATATTGTAAATGTTAAAAATTTAAATATTTAAAGTTTAGATTCACAGTATGAATCTACACTGTTCGAGGTTTTTTTTTTAATCAGTGTTGATGTTTATTAATAGAGTACAAAAAATTAATATTTTTGGTATAATTAGTTTTTTTTTTATAAAAAAAGCTTAAATATTGAAAAAAATAAGAAAATTAAGTGGGTTTTTTTCGATTTTTTTTGTTTTTTATATATAATCAAGGATCTCTATAGAAAGATAACGAAAAATCGTGAACAACGTTATATTTGGATTTTTTTTCGATAAAAAACTTAGCCTAAAAAAATTTTAAATGAAAAAAAAGAAGTGGGTTTTGTTATAATCCGGTACATGTACGTCCGTTATAAAAATTTACAATCCTTCCTTTTGTCGTTGATCGCTTTAAATTCCGACGTTTTGGATTGGTTCATTGGTTCCTTGAATAATAATTGTTCTCTATTGAACTTTTCCATATATATATATATATATATATATATATATATATATATATATATATATATATATATATATATATATATATATATATATATATGTTCAGGTTCATTTGAGACTATTAAAATTCAAAAAATGTTTGTGAGTCGGCTATCATGCCCCGACCCATTTTTATTCTTAATAAAAAAACTATACACCTAAACCCAATTGTGTCTATATATGTACCTAGTTCAATAGATTCGCTTATTTGAGTTCCACCTACGAACATTTGTACTCTAGTGAATAGATATGATGGTAACATGGATTGATTTACTAATTTTTTGAGGAGTAAGTTATCCATCACCTAGTGCCTTACTGGTAAGAGTGTGGCTATCCATAGGGTACGTCCAAAGTTCTAATATGGGGTTTTCAATCAATGACAACCAAGAGGGGTATTGTGTGAGCACTTGTAAATGCAAACTAAGAAGTCTCCACCTCTTTAGTAAAATGGTTAACCACCTTAGGGGAGCCCACTATAAACTTGTATACCTATTTATAAAAATGATGAATAAGTTTGATTTGCTAATTTTGATAAATAAAATGAATTATTCATCTTTATTATATAACAAATATTAGTAAATATTACTAATTAGTTAATTACTATTTTCTTTATATATTATATCAAATTAAAGTAGGGGTGAGATCGTTACTGAAACCACACTAAACCAGTATCAGAACCGCAAGTAACGAAACCAAAGTTCAGATTTTATGGGAATCGAGTACCATACCAATGGGTACTATATGGTTCCAGTTCGGTTTCGGTACCAATGTTATTTTAGTCTTGATTTTCTACAAGCAACAAGCAATGTTTGAGGCTCTAGAACTCGAGCTTAAGTAAAATAAAATGTTTGGTTCTTTAGCCTTAGCATGTAGCCAAGACAACAAAGAACATATAGGAAAAAAAAAACAGCCCAATCCGAGTTCACATGAAAGAGTAATGGGTGTTCAATGTTGAGAAAAATTATCCATAGATTTTGGTAAGAAGAAAAAATAAGTCTATAAAATTTAAGTTTTTCAAGAACACATGTTTAGCACTATGTAACTTAGGCTATACATCTCTAAATAAATTTGTTCTTGAGACTAACATGTAGCCATGACAAAAAAAAACAAGACGCATGAAGAATAATTAGCCCAATCTGAGACCATTTGAGAAATTTGTGGAGAATTTTTCACATGTTTCATAAGAAAAACAAAATGCTAGAAAATTTTAGTTTTCAAGTACCCATGTTTAGGGATATGTAACTCAAATCAATTGTTTCTTGAGCTAACATGTACCCAAGACAATGAAGAAGATGCAAGATTAACAATCCACCGAAACTGAGTTGTCACACCCCAAAACCATGAATGGCGGAAACATTCTGGGGCGGAGGACGTCATGTACAGTATCAAAACAATGAATAATAGTAAACAAGCAACAACATCATCCATTGCATTAATATTATAATTTCATACATGTGTGTTCTGTCAAAGTTATAGAAACCAAAAATATACATATCAAAATAAAAGATGAGTCTTGAACGAACTCCATCTTCTCAAAAGCCTGGCACCTGTACTTGTCTAGTGGAGACCTAAGAATACAAGTTATTTTGAAAGCGAGAATCAGCTTAAAGCTGGTGAGATCATAAGTATATTAATGTCTGAGTTTGTATGAAAACGTTTGAAAGTTGTTTCTGTAAAATGTTTTGTATAATGTTTAAACTCTCCTAGAAAACCCTATGTTTCCTACTAATTGTAGCCTTCTACCAAGGCATCTCGTGTTCGTGTATATGTCTCTTGTTAGAGTGTGTGTTTCCCAAATTCTGACTATCATTAACCAAAAATATAGTTACTACATTACCGTGCATCGCGTGAATAATCACGAAGTGAATGTAAATGGGAAAATATTAACGTATCGTAGTATTTGTAATATGTGACTACTGTGGTACTAACTACCTTAATACAAAAAGGTGTTTTCATATAACATGTGATCAACCTGTATCCTGCTACCGACTCTAGTAAAACGACGATGTAAGACGCCGTAAGAAATAACATTTGGCACACGTAGACTTGCAAGTCCCACTGTAGCGAGCAACAAGGTGTAGGATAGTCAATCCAGTATAGATCTATACGAAAACTTATACACTCTCTAATTTAGGAGATTCGGGATACAAGAACGGTCGGGGCAGGAAGTGCCATGACCCGCTCAATGGTTCACATAACTGCATAAATGTATATGTAACAAATGTGCTAACTGAAGGTGTAATCTTCCTCTATCTAGCCTATGTGTACTGAAATGTTCTACGTGTGCTAGCTATAATGTACGTTCTCTCTATCTAGCAAGTATAGCAATGTACTATGTGTACTACTCGAACTGACTCAGGAATGAACTGACTCATTGTATGTTTCTTTGTTCTAGTTATAGTATTATTATTCTCCTATGCTACCCCTATGGTAACTTACTAATGATGTAACTGGTACGTATGAACCTGGAAGTCTACCCTTGCTACCCAAGGGTACTGAATGAACTTTAAGGACCTTTATGACTACATATGTACACAAGATATATAATTAATATTGAAATGACCTTCAGACGGATACCCGATATCCCACCAGACCACATCTCAAGCGCGAAAAGGAAATAGGGCGGGCAGGCCTTCCTAAGCCTTTTAAACACTTATTATATAAGTATACATACATAGACATGCAATTGATAATAAGTATTAAAGAGTTTAAATTAAAGTATTTGATAAGTAAATGATTTTGTAAAACAGTTTGTAACAATACGGTTTGATAAACAGTTCGAACGGTAAGAAATCATTGGTTTTGTAGTTATTAATCACATGTGATTGATGTAATAACTATAAGTAATTAACTTGTAATAACTATAAGTAATTAACTTGTATCCCCCCCCCCCCCCCATTAAGCATTTAAAAACATTTAAATCATTGGTTAAGGGGTATGAACTCACCTGTAGTGAAGATGTAGGATCGCTAGGTGACAAGTGAAGTCTTGAACACACTTTATAACCCTAGTTAACATATAATACCACATATATGTATCCAATCAGTCTTAAACTACTAATTGATAATGTTAATGTTGGATAAGGTGTCTAAGTCCATAACTATTTCTGGTATGTACTTGACCCGACCCGGCATGCTCCATTTGGGTTGCATGGCACCGTGCAATTGGATAGACTAAATGAGAGAAATAACACTTGGAGATTATTAATATATTATAAGTTCTAATATATTAATAATATTATTTGATTAGTTTGATCAAGAATTAATTTAGAATTAATTATGTGATCAAAAGATAACTAATTAAATATATGGGTTGATTATGTAAATCATCCATATCTTGTATAGTGGGCTAAGAGGCTCCATGGATTATCAAGTTGGGTTCCACCCATAGGATGCTCCATGGATGCTCCATGGGAGTTACAAA